GGGCTTCAGACATGCATGTATACATAAATTGTTGTGTTACTAGGGCTTCAAACATCCATGTATACATAAATTATTGTGTTACTATGGCTTCAAATATCCATGTATACATAAATTGTTGTGTTACTAGGGCTTCAGACATGCATGTATACATAAATTGTTGTGTTACTAGGGCTTCAAACATCCATGTATACATAAATTGTTGTGTTACTAGGGCTTCAGACATGCATGTATACATAAATTGTTGTGTTACTAGGGCTTCAGACATCCATGTATACATAAATTGTTGTGTTAATGGCTTCAAACATACATGTATACACAAATTGTTGTGTTACTATGACTTCAAACATCCATGTATACATAAATTGTTGTGTTACTAGGGCTTCAAACATCCATGTATACATAAATTATTGTGTTACTAGGGCTTCAAACATCAATGTATACATAAATTGTTGTGTTACTAGGGCTTCAAACATCCATTTATACATAAATTATTGTGTTACTAGCTTGTGATGTTGTACATTTGAATATCTTACGACATGAAACAGGCTTAACGACATCTTGATTAAATTTTGTGATTTTAAAACTGGGATTGATATTTCTATGTTGTATTAAGCTTAAAATATCAACGAGATTATGACGAAAGCCTATTTTTAAAATAAGCTTATAAACAGGATTGATATAAATAAGAAACTAAGGTATGTATATAAATATATATATATTAGGTTAAATGTTTCACGTGGTGTAATGTACAGCTTTAACACTATAAATTACACTGTCTGAAATAAATAACCTTATTATGCCTTTATTGATGCATGTTGTTCTACTTTTCATTTGAATATTTTATTAGTCTTATCATTACTTGCACTTAAGAGGTACCTACTTAACCAACAAGGAATACAAAGTTTTGAAACAGCTGTACAATGCTTCGTCTCTAACACCGAGACAAATACTTGTACCTTAAACGTTGTCTCCCTGTTAGAGACGAAGCGTTGTACACAAATAAATATATTATCCCAGAAACAGTTCATTGTGGGATAATATACTTATTTCTGTACAACGTTTCGTTCTCTAACACCGAGACAAATATTTGTACCTTAAACGTTGTCTCCCTGTTAGAGACGAAGCGTTGTACACAAATAAATATATTATCCCAGAAACAGTTCATTGTGGGATAATATACTTATTTCTGTACAACGTTTCGTTTTCTAACACCGAGACAAATATTTGTACCTTAAACGTTGTCTCCCTGTTAGAGACGAAGCGTTGTACACAAATAAATCTATTATCCCAGAAACAGTTT